TCGAAGTATCCTCTACAAACTGGGAACGCTAGAGAAAAATCTAAATGGGGGACCCCCCCTTAATTGAGAGTAGTCACGAAAACTAGTTAAAAAGTCGCCGATTTGTTGACGATTAATCGCTAAAAAATCATCGATTTATTGCCGATTTTGACTACTAACATAAGATTTACTGAACCATTTTCAAAATGCTTAAAGCGGTGTCTATTGTTCTCATCTTCATTATTAAGATTTACTATTAATATTTAAAACGCCTATAAAAAGCAAAAAAGAAAAGCGAGAAAATATTTAGTTACCACTATAATGTCCTTTACTTTTATTTGAGCAACTCAAAAATGAAAGGATTTAAACACAAGCAGTTTTTATCAGTCTTTAGAAAAAGCCAAGCGCACATCTTTTTTGCGAATTTTTTTTAATGATGAAATTGGTGTTCTGCACTATCAAGTTTTACATGTATCAGACCAGACTCTCAAGATTATAAAATCTTTTCTTCTCTATAACTCTCTCAAAACAACAAAAAAGAGATGAATATATACAAAAGAGAATGAAAGCAAGAATGTATGAAGGTGGCAGACAGAACAATAAGGGAAAAGGAATGCTATGAGTAAAGGAATATCGTGAGTCAGGTATCACTATGTCGGTACGCGACTGACATTTTTTCAAACTTTTAGCGAATCTATAACAATTGTCAAAACATTTTGGTTCTTAACGGAGAATAAATATAGATTAATTCGATGAAGGTCTTTCGAGCACAATTTTAGGAAAGATGAGTTCTTCTGTTTTATTCGTAGAACCAACGGTTCATTCTTTTATATTTATTAAATATTCTCTTACTACGGTATTTGATGTTTATTTATTTATTTATTATTAGATGTTTTTACGATCTCTGTTTCCTAAACGTCTGTTGTATGGTAGTGCAGAAGAAGGTGGATTATTAATGAAATGTCTAGACACAACTGGAGACTCTGTGAGTGAGTTAGATTATATTTATGTTCTTGGAATTGTTTCGAATGAAACAGATATATTACCAATAGATCAGGAATCGAATTTTATTAAAATTCAATGGAACGGCACAACAACATCATATTTGAATGATTTATCAGATTATGATTGTTATGGGCGTTATTGTATTAATGGAACGAAAATGAAAGAAAAACTATGCAAGGATCTTCAAAATCAAGATGTATCACTTGGTATTACATCAGATTATCATTTTAGTGCGAGTAGTGCGAGTGTTTATTGCTGCACATCTAAATTTCAACAAATCGTCTCAGAACAAATGCAACACAAAGCTATAGAAAGGTTAAAAGAACAAACGATTGAAGATCAACTTTATGTATCCTACTTAATTACCAAATTTAAACCTTTGCTACAAATGTTAGAAACAATAGAAAATAGAACGTTTGATATTCCGACGTTCAAATTATTGAAAAGTCTTATAGACACTCCAGCATCACATTTATTCAAGAGCTTGATATTGATACTGGAATTACTCAATATTAACATAAAAAAGCTTGACGCTGATAATGTTCCAGCATTACAACTGACATTTTGGCCAATGATATTAAATCCATTTATTGAACGACTTAAACACAATCGTCCTGTTTTATATGAATTCGTTAGAAAAAGTGTCGTCTATATTATTCCAAAATGGTCGAAAAAAACTGCAAAAAATGAAGCTAATTTTGAGTTTCGTTATTCGTTTTCAGACATTGAAAAGACACTTGCACATCAACGTTCAATCGTTGAGCAAAATCTATGTGAAATTGGAATGTCTTAAACTCGATTTGTAAAGCCTAAAGTACTGGTTTTTAAAGTTTAAATTTTCGTAAAAATCAATTTAAAAATTGAATTTTACCAAATTCAAAAGCTGCTTCGGTTGTCAGAATTTGATGTTGAACAATTTTTGTTCCCATGCTTTTATTCCATAATGCTTTTCTGAAGCAAAGCTCTATTCAAGGTCCTGGGCGATTTTGAGCTCGGGGACTCTGAAAAACCGGCCTGAAAATCTGAAAAGAGAAAGTGGCGTAAAAACTTGAATGCCTTTTCACACAGAAATGCACAGAAAGTAGAGTTCGAGTGATGTGTTTCTGCACATCATTCGATAGAGAATCGAACGGCGATCACGAATATCATTTCCCCAACTCCGGAAACCCTTTCCGCGCGAAGTTACGACCAAAATACGCGGAGGGACCAAAAAAAACCGTTTTCGCTGCCTTTTTTTCAATTTGAAATTTTTAAGCAAGGCTTGGAGTTGGAGTATTCTAACACACATACTCTGGTTCAGCGTCGAAAACTGAACAAGAATATGGACTCAGAAAGATTTTAGACCCAAACCCCTTTGCGGCAGGGACACCGAGAGAGAACAAAAGGTCGCAGAGCCTCGATTCACGCTGCGTTCGATTCCTCGTGAGCTCCTCTTCAACTTAAAATGCTTTTAACGAAATTCCTTTTCCTCGCTGAGAAAAATCATTTTTTTCTAAATGAGTGACGGAAAAGTTTACCCGTTAATTTCAATTTTCTCGATCAGAACTCAACTTCTGAGCAGTAAAAATATCATATTCGGGATCAGGATCAAAAGCTGAGTCGCCGGATGTGTATTTCGAAATTTTTAGTTGATTTTCAGTTTTGGGTCAGTATATAAGATATTTTTATAGCTCAGAAGTTGAGTTCTGATCGAGAAAATTGAAAAACTTTAAAAACCAGTACTTTGGGCTTTAAAAATCGAGTTTGAGATATTCCAAAAATTTCAAAAATTTCTCCTAAACCGCAGTATTTGCGCCAATAAACTTTTTTAAAACAAAACCTCGTCTGCCGACAAGGTTTGGATGCGAGTAAAACTGTTATATGTGTAAAAAATCGTATGTCCATTTTAGTTTAGTTGTTAATAGTAAAGTATTTTCTTGTATAAACTCTAGTTTTTTGAACAATGAATAGTTAAAACGATTATCCTACCAGTAAGAAACATGTTCTTTTTACAAACTGTTTGTTACTTTATGCAAATCACTTTTCTCCCTCATTTTGAAATTATTGCTCCCAATAGAAAATTTGAATATTAACAATCTTATTTTTTAGTTTATTTCCTATATAAAAAATCTATACCATAATATGCGAATAAAAAAATGATAAAAACAATCAGACGCTTTAATTTCTACCAGGATATTGATTATAGAAATTGTTCGAATAGATTTGTTCTACACGTTGAATTTTCTCATAAAGTGGCTTGAAAAATTGAAGATCTGTTGATACTTTTTCACAATCGATGATAATTTCCAGAGACGTTTTTATAGAAGAAAGAACTAAACGAAAATCTAATAGAACATTATAGGCATCACCACGTTCAAGTTGATTTTCACTTATTAATGATTCTTCATTTCCATGACGAAAGAAGTCGTAGGCATAACTATTTAAACGATAAGATTGACCGGTATGATCGACAGAGTCGATATTAACGAATGGAACAATTTTGTTTGATAAATCAAGATCATATGCCAGATCCCATGATAAACCGTTATAATTTGTCATAAACGTTTGATGAGTTAAACCAGAGATACCAGCAAATGGTGATATACTTGTTTTACTTTGTTGTTGACTGTGATGATGATGTAGATTATATTCAAATGAACCATTATCAAAGTTTTCATTTGTAGAAGGATGAAATGAGACATCTGAGAATGGTAATATATTTTCATTTTTAATTCTTTTACGCAATTCAATGATAACATTTTCAATATAATAACCATAAACATCTTTGACAATATCATTGAATGAAGTAATTCGTTGCCGAAATTCTTCAGTTATTGGTGATAGAAATAATTTTGAATTGAATGTTTTCTCTCGTCGAACCGCTATTAGTTGTTGATACTGTTGATCGGAAATATGCCATGGTAAATGTGTAAATAAATAAGCTAATACAGTAATAATAGTATCATCGGATTGAATCGAATGAAATAAATGTGTATCCATTAAATAGATCAATAGAATATTTGATGGCTCAAAATAATGTAAATGAGTCGATAATCCAGCTAAACCCATCAAATGACCATTTAAATCAATTAAATTAAGACGATGCAAAAATTCTAATGTATACAAACAATGATATCGTGTTTGAATATCAATTAGAATATGTTTTGATGTTGAAGATGCAAATGAACATTCTAAAGCAACTAATACACGATTTTTTGCATCCTGTTTATCTTGTGATTTTGAATATAAATGCAGTAATCGCATCCAAAAGGTGACTGATGTAGGAAAATGTGGATGAATATTTGGAATTGCTGATATTGTTAAATGACGAATTTTTGATAATGGAATGTCAATAAATATGACATGACCTGAACAGAAAGAATATAAGAGTATAGTTATAGATCTAAAAGATTCGTAAGATAATGACAAGATAATCATTTAGAGATGATTTAGGCGTTTAAGTGCTCCCTAACAAACTACTAAAGTACATTCCCCGCCTTTACAATGTCAAACTTTCACTCAAAAACTCGATACTAACGAGGGAACCGCGTGAGGTCACAAAACACTTTTTGCTCGGAATCTATAGTGGTTATACGTTATCGACCACGCTGATTCCGAATATAACCATCAGGGTGGCTCTTAGCCCTTCAGAGGTCCGATTTCTTAGAAAACTAGTTTTTCAGAAACTCTAAAATATAACCAGGACCTTTCTTATTGAGACATGATTGTAGCCCGCAAACTTCTGATTAAAATGAAACATCCCAGCTCATTACACGACCTTTCTTTGCAAATTTATAGAATTTACAAGAAAAGCCCTAAATTCATTTTTTCCTACTTATTTCTGTAGCTTTGAGCTGACAATGAACATTTAGGTCTTTGTTTAGGCCTAAGAGCAATTCAAAATTCGAGACAAATATGTCCTCACAGGCATCTATTTTAATTTAAATCTGTTTATTTAAACTTATTAACTTATTTAAACTTATAAACTATTAAACTTATCGAGTCAATTCAGATTCATTTACAAGTTCATCAGAAATGAATAGACGGTTTAGTTTAGTATCTGCTAGGAGATGGGTATGATTTAAAAAAGAAAGATCACTAGTGAAAATGTCCACTGTCCTAAACGAAACCCAAGACAACACACAGAATATAACAATGAAAAGCTCATTATGATCAATAGCTACGCATCAGAACAGTATATGATCTAAAAAGATGCTTTGATATCAATACTTTTCTCAAACTTGTCTAATATCATTTTTCTCAAAGGGTCATATTTAACACGTATTGACCCCCACTGCCCGCTCCCCCCACTCTTCCGCTCGAATGAGCTCTAGGTTTGATCAACAAGTTTGGGTAATTCTTGATGATCACTTAATGGACTAAAACATAACAAGTCTATAGACGATTGGAAAATTACTTTTTAAAGTAATTTAAATTTGAATTGTTAAATATTTAGTCACACTTTTAATCACGTTTGAAGCATTGTTTTGATTGTCGTAGTATAAAAGTTTATTATAAAATACTGACAGTCCCGTGCAGCTAAAGAAATTAAAGTTTTGGGTTGATTATAAAAGACATCAAATGAAATTTTTTGTTTTATGAAACCAAATCTTCTAGTTTTGATTTGGATTAACCAAAGTTTTATCCGCTCATAATTTTATGCAAAAGGCATAAAAATCCATCTTCAAAAGATTATACTACACTAATTTCTTTGGTTTGCTCAAAAGTTTGAAGTGACTAATGAAATCCATCCAAAACTCTGAACGAGACGTTCTTTTCATTGCCCTTGAGACAGATAGAGCTGCATTTTAAGTAAGATAAACTTTTATTCGTAGTAGCACAATATAACACTAAGATTATTGACTCTGTTCAGTATAGACGCATGTTTTCATAAGAAAGCTTACCTTCTACATCGAAGCCTCTTCGTCCTGCTCGTCCCGACGATTGTCGATATTGTAATGCATCGAGATAAATTGAATCCTTTAAAAAGCCGACACTTTTTGTGGGCATATGTATACCGAGTGCTAAAAAGAATTCAACATTATTATACAGAGAAAGTGAGAATGTTAAACTATTTTCTTACCTAATGTTGATGTTGAAAAAACAATCTGAACATAACGATTCCGATATAAGGCTTCAACAGCTATACGCCCTTTATTTGCCAAACCAGCATGATGATAGGCGACACCACGTCTCATATATTTGACCAATGTTGAATTATCGTTCGACGCACGAGTTATCAAGGAATCAACCAATTCTTTATCACAATCACGAGTATTAGCTAGTGTACATTCAGGCAATACTCCGTACAATAAATCTTGTTCTATGCCTGATAGATGCAATTCATTTTCATCATTTTCTATCTTCTCTGGCCGATTATCATTGCCAGCATTACCAGTAGCAGAAGACTTTGACGTTCGTTTCATAACTAATTTTCGATTTTTTTCTGTTTGTAATAGGCGTTTTTCAATTTGTTGAATTTGTGTTTTATATTTTGTCTCTCTTAAATGATTTTCTTGTTGTTCAAAATATGATGAAACACTCTCAGCCATCAATTCGACCAAATGACGACTATCCGAGAAGACAATACATGGTAGTAAATTTTTTTCACGTAATGTTAAAACAAAATCCACAATTAATGTGGACATTTTTTTCCCTTCCGGATAATTTGCATTTAAACTCGGATTGACTTCATTTAAATTTGTAATTATTGAATCGATTCTTTCTACTCCTTTTTCTTTCACGATTGACTGGAAATTATTACATACGCTCCGACTATAGTCATTACATTTCCAACGTTCCATTATCCAATCATTAGCAAAGTACTTTGAGACTGATGAACTACAACAAAAGCAAAAAATGTATAGTGGAGAGTTCTAGTACAATGATGTTTGACAAATACATTCTTATTTGATGAAGACTGGTTATGTTGGAGAGTATGTTCTTGAGAAAAAATGATGATGAAAACAACCTGCGTACCCACTAACGAGGGAAATGTTTCATCGTTTTTGTGAAATAGACCCCAATCAGATTAGGAAAAGCTAAGAAGGATTCATCCCTAAGGGTCTTTCTCCTCGAGATATCGAATTTGTAGATATGTCTCTATAAGCGAAACTAGTACAATACCGAATTCTTTTATTTCGCGGCATGTATAAAGCGTTGACCGCTGAAACTTTTATCTCAGATAGATCTGGTTGTCGAGTAGCTGGGCAAAACGTTTCACACCAGCTTGCTCTGTAGTTTTCAATCAGGATGATTTCCACTACTATTAGTTTCTTTTTCAAACTGCAGAGCGTAACTCACTGCTAGCAACGCGCATGGGGTTTTGCGAAGGAAAATAACTTATAGTGCATGATGAAGACAGACGGTTGAAACAGACGCGATGCTCCGAATCCCGAGTATCTGCGATTTAATTCACATTTGTCCCTAAAACATACGTTATTGACCACGCTGAATCTCATAACATCCGAAAATTGCCGTCGCCGCGGACTCGGTCTTAAAGTGTTAACACTTTACCACTTTAACATATACGAACTCGTGGCGAGTGAGAGTAAGGGTGGAGAAGTAAGAGTGAAGTGGGTGAAGAAGTGCTCCACACGCATCCTCACCCTCAATTATGCACGTTTATACTTTAACATATAAGAATCGGCGGCGGCGGCGATTTCCGGATGATGCCCTGAATCTCGTGGCAATATTTATTTCTCTGAAAAAGCTCAAACGTGTAAATGTAGTAAACATTTTCAAGCATTGAACGAAAGAGAAAAGTTTTGAAAGATAATCATTGGGATTTTTAAGCGCAGAGTTACGAAGTTAAAAAAATTCACATCTTCTTAACTAACAGAAGATTGTAGAGATGTTTAACTGAAATACCAAATGTTTTTCTAAAAAGGAGTATCCTTAATAGAGTATAGTTTATAAATCATCATTGTGTGATTGAAGATGAACAAATGTTTGCTTACTGCGTTTCGTGAGTGACATTGCTAGCTATTTCCGATGTTTTTTGAATGGCATCGCTCAATTGTAGTGTTTCTTTCGGTGATAATGCAAAATCTTTAGGCAAGCAACCACGATCTATTAGTTGTTTTGAATCCATTATTTGAATTGGATGAATTGGATGAAGTTGTTTTTCCGAATACAAATATTTGTTTAAATCAGCCATACGTTCATTGTACGATATGAAGCGAATGTCTCGAAGAACTGTGTTGCGGTGGAATAATAACGCACGTTTTTCTTCAACTTTTTTCAACCAACGATGTACTTCTTCACCATTATTGACAGTTGCAGACAAACCAATCATCGGACAATTGATCAATAGCATATTTTTCTCCCAAACGTCACTATCAGCTTCTCCACTCATACAGTGAATTTCGTCGAATATTACATATCGTATTTTATTGCACCATTGCTGATGTTGTGGTGATAACAATAAAATTTCAAAACACTGGGGAATAGTCACCAATATTCGAGAATTTTCAACATTTGTTCGATAGTCACGTGTGAAGACGCCAAAGACGGCACCAAACTGAAATCACACAACTAATTATTCTTATGTGAGAGAGATTTTTGTGGTTCTTACTTTTGAATAGATAGTTGCCGAAACTTGATTGACCAATGCTTTTGTCGGTGCCACGTACACACATATTCCAATATCATCTTCTTTTATTACAGATTTCATAGCATAATACGAAGCGTATGTTTTACCTAAATGTGAACAAAATACATGTTTGTATAAATTAACCGGCAAACAGCTTAGACTGATAAGAATAAAATTCTGATTTTATTAGTTTTATTCTGTGTAATGACAGCTTTAGTAGTCTTTTGTTCTATTTAGAAAGTTACATTGATCGCTTTTCTCCATTCTTTCACAAACAGATGAAGTTAAAGAAACTTCAGACTTAACATGAGGAATATGGATCTTCAGATGGACGTTAGAACACTATTTCTAAAAAATAACATTACGCAGCCTTATAGTATAATTAGTGTATTGATTAGGTTTAACGAACCCATATGACTTATTTTAGAAGGATAAACACATTTTCTGCTCTTATCCTTTATTTGTCCAGCTTAACTTTGGTGTACAGGATCACTTACTAAGATATATGGAGGACGTTTCTCTTCAGACCACATTCTACATCGACAAGCTTTTTTAACGGTCGTTAAAAGACATTCACGCTGTAGAGAAAAATATTATATGGAGTAACAACATTTTTTTCACTAAATATGCAAGATAATGATGAAGAGTGGTTCATACGATAATACTTGATCTGGATACCATCAAGGCAAAAGAGAGCGGCTGTAGTAGCCTTCTCAGATTAGTAGGTTACCCTATCAGTTAGAGAATTAGTCCAAACCGAAATCTTCCTCAGAGCCATCTGTCACTTATACGGGGCGGGGATTTTCGAATCAATAATTTACTCAACCATTCTTGACAGAGGTGGGATACAAACATAAAGTGGAAAATTTAACATACTTCAATTAGTAAAAACGAACTTAATCATACGGATAACTAAAGTTAATTAACATTTCCTCTTTCTGTTTGACCCCATCTATACCGTGAATCCAGACATCTTCCATATGTTCAGTAAAGAATAGTGCAAGCTTTCTACGAAGTATTAGAACTAGAAATCCTTTCTCTATAAGAGTTCATAATCAGATAGTTTTTCTACTTGAATAGTCAGTAACTAGGGTTCATATATTCTAAGAGACATCGGATCGCTCACCTATCACTTAAACGATGTGGGGTTACGTAATTCAATACGGTATGAAGAACTTCAAAAATAGAAAGCTGAACAGTATCTATTTGTTAAAAGACAAACTGTTTCTGACGCATTGCGGTTCGCACATCAGATGCATAGTGCAAAGAAAGACACAAATCTCCATTAAAAAGAGAAAAATATTTCGCTTACCCGAAGCAGTTGGCGCTACGATAATGATCGATTGTTTTTGATCAACGGCATTGAGAAATTCGACCTGCCAATCATCGGGAATAAAGTCCGCTACACGTGGATCTGCTTTACCATTTTCTAATCTTGGTACTCTAGAATTTATTGTATTCATTTGAAATCTGAACCATTTGTCTCCTGCTAAATCATTATCATCGATTAATTCTTTCATATATTTTTCTTTTTCATTCCATGGATTATTTGAACTGTTTTCTAAATGTGCAATTTCCGTCAATGTAGCAAAGTAACCTATTTGTAATTGTTCTAAACACGTTGGTTTGATTTGTTGTTTTAAATATTTCAAATATTTTCGTTGTACAACCAATTTTAATTTCAATATTTCTAAACGTTTTGACTGAAAACTTGGCAGATGATTATCAATTATTTCTAGAGATTGAATAAAATTATTGTTCGGTAGTCGTTTCAACATAGATTCAATTGTTGTCATTCGTTCACTCTCATCATGTACCCTTTTATCATTTTTTTTTTTATCATTTCCTTCAATTATTTTTTCTGCTTTTGTCTTATGAATTTTCTTCTGTCGGTCCTGTTTATCATTACCGTTCGTATTAATTACTAGAGTTGGCAATACAATTTTTGAATTACTATCTTTTATGTCGCGACTTGTTAATGATTTTCCATATAATGTCATATATTGATAATACAGTTGAGTATTCTTTGTTCTAAAACGATAGTTTTTCGATTTGTTTCCCATACTATTATCTCGTACGCGATCAATTTCACTTCCAACTTCTTTATATACATGCCAATGAAATTTTCCTAAAAGAGTCAACGTTCATCGAATGGTGATTTCGTTTATTTTGCAAAAGCAAGTTCATAGAAAAGGGCACCTAACTGAAGATTAGACTATAAAAACACTATCCCGAAGACACAGAGGGAGAAAAAATTGAAAAAGCATGTGACAAGAGAGTAAAGAACGAACCAATAAATAAAAGTATAGTCACAACAGAAACAGGAAAAAAGCATTACAAAGAAAAATCGAGATTTGTTCTCGCTTCACTAGGGCGATAGTTTGTTTAAAGTGAAAGGAAACGGATAAAACTCAGTTTTTAAAATGTTTGCTACTTGAGATGACTTATTTTGACAGTTTAGGCCACAACCAGCAGGTAAAAGTGCAACATACAAAAATTAATTTTTCCATTTTCCGCGCCAACGGCGAATTTTTGGATGAAAAGTGGTAGTAATGGAACACACATGCGATATAAATTTATGTCATTCAGCTCTATTTTTCACACACATTCCGAATATGACCTTTGATTTTGTCTCAAAATGTTGTTTTAGTGACGAAATTTAGTAAATACCGGTGCGAACCTGCTGAAAATCACTGAAATCGCGTTTTCTGCCCTGTTGTACAACTGTTTTCTGTTCTGTTTTAGTACTAGCGGATAGAGCGTGAAAAGTTCCATATAGGGTAAAAAACTGACGAGGCGCATGGGTTTCTGTCTGGTCATATAGGGCGGATATCGTCAGAAATCACGATTTGCATCAGGTTTGGTCGATTTTCAAAGAAGTTTCAGCTTTTGTAATTTTTCTAATGTTATATTCGGGTTCAGCATAAAATTCTAGATCTGAATCACTATCTATTTTAGTTTTTCAATGCTTCCTTGCCTAGGGGACCTCGAAATACCCTTCTCGGCGGAAAACAAGAAAATTGAGGTAAATTGAAGTTTAAGCCTTATCAAACCATTTCGGACACTTCTAATACGGATAATACGGATATTCGTGATCAGCGTGGTCGATTACATATTACCAGGTGGGTTTGGAAAAAATCAAAAATCAAAAGGGACCTCAGGCCCCAAAAACCTGACCGAGATTTCGCGAAACTGAGTGTCTGGGAATATTTCTGCGCAACTCCTGACATGGTTCCAATGCAAAAAAATGAAAATTTTGGAGGCCAGGAAAGGGTCTTATCCGCTCTACTCCTTTATCTGATCAAAACTTCATCGACGTCGAAACTGTTACAAATAATTCAACAAATTTGTAAATAAATCATAGAAAGAGTAAAAATTTAAAACTCGAAACTTTCAATGACCTTTCTCAAATTTGAAAGGTTGTTTTAAGAGAGTGCGTGACTATTTTTCCGAGAACTTTCAAACGACAAGTACGCGAGGTCTGGGATTTTTTACCAAGATCATTGAGATTCCTGAGCAACGATTTTTTAAAATCTTTCTATAAAATATATTTCCCAGAGGCTCTTGGAAATCCAGATCATGGCTCAAATACTTAAAAGAGAAATCTAGCGTTTTTATTCATGATTAGATAGCCTAAATTGTCCTCTTAAAAACAGGAGTGAAATGACCTCTTAATTTTCCATCGCTTAGGTATGACATCGGATGTCCGCACAGTTCCAGGACTGGTATCTGGCGCCTATTAGTAACTTTAAAAAGGGATAATTTGTAAGTAATCAGCCATGTTTAGTCCTTTGGTGACGTTTGTTTTTACAGAAACATTAGAAGATCTACTAAAAACTTGATTTTACAGAAAGTATCGATTCTTGGCGACTTTTATCAACGGTGAAATATTGAATATTTCAGATCGTTCCAGGATACACGCAGTTTGATATGCTATAACTAAGATATATTTATGCAGTGTTCTAGAAATCTACTTGAAAATTCGGTCCTCTTTTAATGCAGGCAAAACTCTGCTTAAAAAACGAAATTTTCTCTGACTTTTCTATTCTTAAATCAATAATAACTTGGGGTGGATGAAGCGATTTATTCATGAAGTTTGACTATATATCAGACAACAGTTTGCCTTGTTCTCCATTGTATGAGCAATGTACGTAGAAGTGCGAAGAACAAAAGATTTAATAAATAAAGATGTCGAAATAGTTTCCTGGGCAATTCGATACAATCGTTCTCAGAGAGCAAAAGTAAGATCTATCAAACATACCTTTGTATTCCGGCATTGATGAGTGATTCTCCACATCAGTAAATACTATTTCTGATGAAATTGGTTGTAAGTAGGTATCGATTAAAGGATTAGATATTTTTGTTAACGTTGTTATTCTTTTTATCACGGTTGTATTCTCTATCAAACTTGTATCATCACCAAAGGTAATATTTTTCGTTAATATCATCTGTTCTAAAGCATCCACAAGTACATTATCATCCATTGTTTGTTCAGCATACAGAACAAAACTACGTTTTAAAATATTGTATGTGTCTGTATCCAAACGAAAATTCTGTGTTTTATCCATTATCGTATAAAGTGTAAATGCAAACAAACGTCCATCAAACATATCAGCTATTTTAGTATAGGATAAATCTGGTAACATTTTTGATAAATTCAATGATAGTATTTGTTGAAATTCTTGAATTAATTGCGTTAACAAAGGACTAAAGTTCACTTTTGGAAACGGTTTTAGATATCGATCAATAATTGATAACTTGATAAGTAATGCAATATGTAACAGTAAAAATGGTATAAGTTGTTTTAATAGTTGTTGATTTTCATCAGTCTAAATAGTCAGACAAAAAATAGTATTTTTTCCAGTAAAATGTCATTTATTTTGGGTAATAGTAAAACATGAAGTCACCCACAGCCAGCTACACAGACATCCATGGATGTCTGTGTAGCTGTCTGTGGTTGTATGTGTATGTGTGCTGTCTGTGGGTGTCTTCATGTTTTACTATTACCCATATCTAAGCTAGGTTAAGCTGCCATACGAAAATATCTTTTAACGGATCTAAGTGTTTTTATGGTCGTAATACTTCACTAATGTAGAATTTGACATCAACACGAGTTTGAAGATTAAAAATACTTACCCGTCACCATAAAAACTTACCCAGTTAAAACGTATATCTTCGCTAATTATTCCATTCTCTTTGTCTCAAAGCATCCTCGTTTTATTTTACGTTGTAAATATATGCTGCATTTCTTGTCATAAAGTTATTCCCAACTGTTGACGTTATGTACAACGTTGCAATAATGTAAAGATCTATAGATCTTATAATATATCACGAAAATCTGATGATATAGATTCTACTATTGGAAAAAATCTTCATATAATAATGCCATTTTTAGCAACTTTTTTCTATGATCATACATCTCTGATAACAACTGACAACAACACATGAACTATTCAATGACTCATCGTTTGAGAACAAATTTGTTTGATTTCTCACGAAGCGGTAAAAGATGTAAATAAAAATATGACTAAGAGTGTACCAATTGTAACTGAAATGTCAGAACAAAATTTAACAGGATATGCTGATAATGTTGTCTTTGAAAAGTAAATTGTTATGTCATGATGGACCTAATATCTCGACAACTTTTTCGATGTTAATGTGTCAATATTGGCAGCAGATGTAAAGACTCGTCGGGCTTTATCTCTTTATGTTCAAAGACTATTTAAAAAATATGTGTCCTTTTTCAAATTTGTCATGAATAGACTAGACTTTCCGAGATAAAGCAAGTCTCTGATATTCAGATATATATCTGTTGACATTTCCTTCGCATTTGCTGGTATTGTGTTTCTATACAGAAAAGAGCAGTATGAAAAATATTTTATATAACAAGTCGCTCATAACCGACTCATTTTTTGACTAAATTTAAATAATTCTTATGAGATAGTATCAGATTCGCAAGACTTTTTTGTACTCATAAATGTGAAAAAGCACGAAACTTCTCTGACGGACCCTGCAGCGGACTCGATTACAGTCAACATGCTTATTTTCCCGTCTAAACATAATGCTTGTAGACTTTAATCGAGTCCGTTGCTGGGTCCGTCAGAGAAGTCTTGTGCTTTTTCATATTTGTGAGTAGAAAAACGTCTTACGAATCTGATACTCAAAGAATTATTTAATTTGATCAAAAAAATGAGTGAGTTATGAGCGACTTGTTATATAAAATATTTTTCATACTGCTCTTTTCTGTAGAGAGACAGAATACGACAAATGCCAATAGAGATATATTTTAGCGTACGAGGGAACGTTACCAACTGTCAAATCGCTTTCGTGCCGAAACCTAGTGGACTATAGGTAGTAGACCATTCTAATTCCGAATATCAACGTGAGACGGACCGCTGATCCTCTTCGACTGGTTTTCTCGATAATCAGTTTTTCAGAAACTCTAAAAAATAACCAAAGCCTTTCGTAATGAGACATGATTGTAGCCCGCATATTACTGATTAAAACGAGACATCTCCCAACTCTACACGACCTTTGTCTGAAACTAGTTTTCCAGAAAACCAGTCTCTGGAGGTGTAGCGGCTCATCTCATGTTGATATTCGGAATTAGCATAGTTTACGACCTATAGTTCACTGGGTTTCGGCTGGAAAGCGATTTAACACTTGGGAACGTTCCTCGTTAAATGCATGTATATCTCTATGTCTGCTAGTAGTCTAGTTGTTACCAAAAGTCTTTCAAATACAAAATCTATTTTTTTTAGCACTATACACATTCTTTTTCTACATGGTAGATCCTTAAACGATGGGACGTTTCATCCGGAAAAGTTGCAATAACCGACAAGCGAAGAAAATCAATCAGATAGCCATCACTTGTTATTAAAAAAGCAACACTCAATAGGCCTCTAGCATTCGAATAGTGATATATCTCTATTGGCATTTACTTCGCATTTTTCTTCACAGAAAAGAATTATATTCTCGCATTTTATTTTTCAACGGACAAAATGGCAGAACAGAAAAACGACGGAGTAATCTGATATGTTTAAAAATCAGTGGTAGAGTAGCCTGAAAGTCTAAACATGTGTTGTTTGTTGAATAATGCGTCTCTTTTTTCTCTTTTCTGTGAAGAAAAATGTGAAACAAATGCCATTAGAGATATATCTCTATTCGAATGCTCGAGGCCTACTGCTCTATTTTAATTTTCTAATATTTTTCTTATTAGTAAAAAGAAACGAAGGATCCTACGGTAAAGGATAATCCCATTCACTCACTCTGCCAACCTTTACAATTTTCATATAGCAGGCGTCTCATAAACACTTAACTAACATCAAAATATTGATAAGCACACCTTAAAGACAAAGTGCAGGTCTATTTTCACCATTACAGGATATTCAAATTTCAATCTGAGGCAGTCAGATCCACAAGGTGTTCTATATCCACTGTCCTTGAATGGATGCAAAAAAAGGCTTTTTACAAATAAGTATGAACCCTCGATGATACAACGCTGATATCAAGTTTTTTAATCACTTAAGGGCCCTCGTCCCCCTCAGAAATTATCTCCGGCACCGTACATCCGATCTTGACAAAACTTCGCATAAACGTTTGGCTTAATGACCTACGTGAAAAATTTTTTTTGTCTCCAAGTCTTACTGTTTAGAAGTTTTTTAGAGATCAAGGCCCAAACAGGGCCCTGAAGTGTTTCCGAAAACCTTTTAATATACTTCAAGCTAAAGTTCGGGTTTGTTTTGAATTAAACTAGACACCTAACTAAATCGTCTGACCGGCGCCGATTTTTCAGTTAAAGCCTTTATTGGTTTTCCAGGCAACCAATAACCTTCAAAACTCGAAAAAACCTTCCGAATTTTCTAAAATCCTTAACTTGATGAAAAACTAAGACCTAATTCAAAAATCGGCGACGGTCAGACGATGTAGTTTCTTCTCCTCTTTCAAACAAAAAATAATAAACTCTCTATGACAAACCGCTATAAAAAATCTTGGGAAATACCTAAGGTGTAACTCTTATATAGGGAAAATGCTGTATGAAATACTCAATTTTAGAACTTCTAGGAAAATGTCTGTAACGTTTTAATGCAGAGTCATACAGAGTTGTACGAGGTCTTATTTTGATCCGAAACGTTTGCTCTACAAATCTGTGTGTTTAGAAAAATTTTAATTGCAATAGTATCCAGGAAAAGGCTATTATTTGAAGATTCAGTTTTTCGAGACTCCCAGAAAACTTGCTCAAAATCCGGGCAAACCACTTTTGTAACCAAAAGCGATACAGATTCTGAAGGGGGACACTGCAGGCTATCTTCCTATGTGCTTATCTCAAAACCGATATTTTGACCGAAAATCATCATTTCTGAGGGAGAGGGCCCTTAATTGGTTAAAAGAATGAGAGCAATTGCTAAAGATTATAGTTTCAGTAAATTAAAATGAGTTATGTTACTTCTTATCTACTTATTGAATATATCTGGACTATGTAGTTTTTAATGCTGCTTAAGATACTTATTTCTTTTATAAAAAGCAACGTATGTAGTTGACCATTTAGTTTTCATTTCTGTTTTAAATCATAGGGTTTTATACAAAGTCAAAAACTCTTCATATTTTCAGTAAAAATAAATAATATACCTTCTTGTTTTCTGTAAGTATTAATGCAGCCAAAACATAATAATATAATCGTGCATCACTATCAGCTATTTCAATTGATAAATTAATTAACATCTTTTCATATTTTATATTTAATAAATCTAACTGTAAATTTGAATTCAAATCAGATACTGTAGATATTTCAACATATTTTTCTATGTTATTTAATGCACACATTTTATTAAATACAATTCTGAAACAGTTAACAGATGTTTCCGATAAATTTAATTTATTCATTAAATAAAGTCCACATTCAACGAAAAATTGATGATAATTACCGAATAGACGATAAGTAATAATCAATTGATTTAATTCATATCTTGATAATAAATCGACTGAATTAATTCCAGTAAAATCATTATAAAATACAAACAATGGTTTTTCTTGTTTATAAAATTTTACATAATCATTTGAAATCCAAGATGAAAATAGACGAATTTTTAATGAACATTTATCTGAATTTTGTTTCAAATGTTGAATTAAACATTGTCTTAACAAAGATAATATTGAACATTTTGTTTTGTACAATTTATAATTACAATCAAAAAATATGAGATAATAATTTGTTTCATTCGATTGTTTAAATAATGTTAACAATATTTTTTCAATAATAAAAATGACATGAAGTGTATTACCCATATCACTATTCAAATTGATATTACAATGATGAGCAATTGTTAATAACAACGAATCACCATCGATAAAATATTGAGAAGAATCTCGAAACTCTCGTCGTACATCCAACCACTGAGATCTATAAGAATAAAATAAATCAATTTTTTTTAACTGTTCTTCACTGTATTTATCCACGTTTGACGACGATGTTGTTGATGCTGTTTTCATTAATAATTCAATTGATGATAGAACTTGTCGATGAGCTTCTGATATTGTTTCCTTTTGATTTTGGCATCTATTTCGAACAAATTCAATAATTTCTATATTATCAAAATCGTGAACATTGGTCAATTCTGATAAATGTAATGCTAGCTGACGTAAACCAATAAGTAAAATTTTATCATTTTCACTATCTAAATAGTGATTTAGTGTAAAATAATAGATACGGTTGAAATGAGTATACGCTTTGTGAATAATAAATGAAAATTGTAATAAACGTTCATGTTGTTTCTCAAAATCGTCTTTATGTTTTGATTGAACGAACTAAAATGAGAAGATAAAGATGTTTAGTGACATGAAGGATATTGGAAGCCGAAATATTTCTAAAATATATAATCTATTCATGAAGCACCCCAAACTTATGTTTAAATTGGCTTAATCTTCGAACATTTTATCTCGACCACTGATATATACAGAGGCGTAAATATGAGATGGATTCGCCGGATTTCGAGATGTTCCTTACCAGGAAAACGATTTTATTTCATATGTAGAAAATAGTATTATCCAATTCAAAAAAGAAAGGTCATGGCCATTTGTTTAATAACTTTTTCTAGGATGTAGCTACGGAGCTGCGGTTTTCACTACTAAATATTGGGGCAATAAGAAAAACCGAAAATTATTGTCCCAAAATCACGTGCAAGTGGTTTGCCCCGCGAAGATATTTTGCGAAAGTTACCGAATGTGCTGATCAACGTGGTAATGTTTATTTTTGACTAGAAATTGATCCAAGGTCACTAGAGTATTTTTAATGAAAAAACGGATTTTTGCATGAAGCCCGTCAAAACTAGAGTTGCCGTATATCAGCCATTTTAAGTCAAAAACACACTAAATTTTTAGGAAACACTTAGAATAGTGTATTGATGCTGAACGAGTTCTGAAATATTAGTTTCAGCGGGTTTCTGGAAACCTCCTGGAAAACCCATAATTTTCCAGTTTTACGGGCCCCATCTGATTTATGGTCATTTTTCATATATCTGCCAAAAATTTGGTGTGTTTCTGACTTAAAATGGCTGATATACGGCAACTCTAGTTTTGACGGGCTTCATGCAAAAATCCGTTTTTTCATTAAGTAAAACTCTAGTGACCTTGGATCAATTTCTAGTCAAAAATAAACATTACCACGTTGATCAGCACATTCGGTAACCTATGTTTCAAGTCTTTCCGAGATCTTCCGACGTGTTCGGACCGAGTTAGTGTGATCTCCGGAGAACCTTTCTAGCTTCGAAACCTTGTAAGCTAACGACCAGGAACTCCTCTAAAAACGAATATCTGAGCCCGGGCTACCAGCGTGTCGTCTCAAAAGTTAAAATCCGAAACGTTTTCAGCGGTGTGCCATCTTTCGCAAAATATCTTCGCAGGGTAAACCACTTGCACGTGATTTTGGGACAATAATTTTCGGTTTTTCATATTGCCCCAATATTTAGTAGTGAAAACTGCAGCTCCGTAGGTACATCCTAGAAAAAGTTATTAAACAAATGGCCATGGTCTTGGTTTTTTGAAATGGATAATAGTAGTAGGAGAAAATATTTTAAGTGCTATTCAAAGAATTTTTTTTCGAGATACATTCTAGAAATAGAATGCGACTTCACTGATGCATTGAAAACGGTACAAAGTGTAGAAAAATGCAGGATTCACAATATTCCGCATCGTGATGTTCATTCTGGAATATTCTACCATATTGTGAGCAAAATTTTATCAGAATGCCCATTATCTCTCACAATTCACCACAATTTCGCGAAAAGTTATAAACTGTCACAGCATTTTGCACCATTGTGGGACATAATGAGGAGTTTACTAAAATTTCACTCACAATATGGTAGCATATCCCAGAATAAATATCACGATGCGGAATATTGTGGATCTGCTTTTTATAGTGTGCGTCTATCGAGAAAATAAACTGTGGATAACATCTTTTAAATCAATAGACAGCTTCCATATGTTTTGAACGTGTCGTATACGAAGACGTTTGAACACAAAAAAAAATGCTTAGTATTTGGTACATGGCCAGACACCTGAGTGTACTAGCTTTAGAGATACCAATGCACTCAAATATTAGATAAGTAATCCTCAAATTCACTAGATGAAAGTTTTAAGTTTAAACAAGCCACAAATAGCAAACACCATTACTGAGATATTCGCTCAGAGCACCACTAGATGCGTCCTAAACACTGCACTTTAGTGGTGCTCTAAACGAATATCTCAGCATTGGGTCTTGATCAGGAGGAAGAAATATGAGGAAATGAAATGTTGTTTGTGGCTTGTTTAAAGTTAAAATTCTCATTCAGTGAATTTGAGGATCACTTATCTAATATTTGAGTGCTTTTGTGTGACTAAAGCGTAATCACTTAGCTGTCTGGCCACATACCAAGTCACATCTTTATGGATGACTTGAAAATACCGTGAAACGACATTTCCACGAATGACACCTGCGCTGAATTTTCTTTACAAATGTAGAAGTAATTTCTAACTCAATTTTCAGTTTTTCACCTATGACCTGGATAAAGATTGAGAACACTTGGGGAAATCTTATATTTCCGCTGTGCTCCTGTATATTCGCTAATTCTCTAGAAGGACACAGACGTTATTAACTAGGAACCTAATGAAATTTTCGTTGAAGTAGTAGATATTTCCAATTTGAGCGTGAGACAAGCAAAGTGTGAGAAATACGAAAAAAAGTACAACCTTTATGTCTACTAGCGACTTCACTAGACTAGCGAGAAACGTAGTAATTGAATGGGGTTCAATCTCTAAACGAAACCTCAGCTTGATCTAGGTATCCACCGGTATCGGTATCTATACCGAAACCGAAAATACCGACCATTTGTAATGAGATATTTTAGCGTCATAGACAGCCAGAACACAAAAAAGCTCAGCTATAAGTATGTGCAAACAGAAAATAAAGGAAAACTTTGGTTTTAAAAAACAAACAAACCTCTTGTTTGTATACCTAGCTTAATGCAAAAACACTCAGGGCCAAAATTATAATGAAAGTCACAAAAAAATCTTATTTTTCTTCAAAAAGTTAAATAAATGTAGTCGAATAAATTTTTCAGACCTATAACTTTATCTCACATTCAAATTCAGTCAATTGATCATTACGTTCAGATTTTAATACTCACCACTTTGTTGCTTTTGCTCAGGTCTGTTTGATTATCTGTAACTATTAGTTTTGGTTTAATGGTTTCAGTCGATTCCTCATCGTTATCAGTCAATTCGTCTGATTCATTATCGACAAATAACTGTCGATGGTTACCATTAGTCTCCGGTTTTTCACCTAAACCATTTTGATGTTTAATTCGTTGATCCGAGTAAATCTCCTGTAACTTATGCAATTTTTCCTTAATTGCATTTAAATATTCTTCTTGATATTCTTCTTGATAAAATTTATTATCTTTGGCAATTGCTTGTTGAAATGTTAGGTCCGATGTTGTCTCGGTATCCAATAAATAGTCAATAAATTCTTCAATACGAGCCTTCATTTACTCCCTAGAAATAAATGTGAATATTAACGTACTGTCTCGCAACTCTGTCCTTGCAAAATCATGTAATAGTCTATAATGATTAAAATAGAAACCGTATAATAAGTGAAGGAAAGAGAGTAAGAGGTATTTTTGGTCTCTTTTTATTTATCGTGCAATGTATTGTACTGTGATAGTGTGACAAGTTAAAGAGGATAAAAATAAATACTGATAATTCTCTTTCGTTTTCATCCTTATCGACGACTAAGGGCAGCACTCTTATCAGTTCTTTTCACAATGCACAATTTCATCATAATATATTTTCTTTTCTCCCTTACTTATTACTGTTCTAGACGGTCGATCCGATCGGCCGCCTGCCGAACAGAAAATAAATTCTAATTTTTTTTTTTGTTTTCAGTTTTTTCGGTTCTTTCTTACGCATCCGTTTTGACACGCGCCGTACGAAGAGAAAATTATGTTTTGGACAGAGTTTGTACATATTCGAGCACGGAGCGTTTTGGTTTTTGACTATGGACCTGCGCCAATAAATGTTGAAGATTCGTGCACGATTGGTTAATCAAATTTTTTAGTTTATTTTATAATGTTTTTCAAGATAGCAATGAAGCTGACTGTGTAAAACCTTTTATATCTGACATTCTTTTTTCTTTTTTTTCTGCCTCTAACGGGATGTCACTTTCACATTCGTACAAGCATCGTGTGAGTCACTATAAAAAAAGAAAAAGAAATAATGTTCTGGTATGCTCGATGTATGTTTGTATGTAAAAGAAATAGAAAACGAGGTAGGAAAAGAGAAGAAAGAATACAATGTCGTTGTAAGAACATGATGATTCAGTTCTGCTCGTCGTAATGATGAATAGACACTTCGAGTAGAATGTATATGATGACGTAATATGGATGATAAAGTTCATTTTTCTTGTAAATGGAAAATATTTCAGTCGAATTGTACAAAAGGAGATGAAATTTTATCGAACAAATATTTTCTAAAAGATTAGATAATTCAAAGTCCGAGATTGAATAGTGACTCTTTGAAGGTAAACAAGATCTTAATGATCGAAGGGATTCAAGCAGATTCTTTTTAGAGTGTACTATACATACTTAACTAACTTGTTCTATATTGCCCATTGTGACCAAACCGTTTTATGTACGTTAAGCGCATTCTGTTTTTGGAGAAATTTTCAAAATTGAGTTATGTAGTCAAGTGTCCTCTACAATATGAAACTGCTAAGTGCTTTTCATAATCTTTCCTTAAAGAAATACAGCTTATGGAAGTTTTACCTTAGAAACCATTGTTTTCCGTTTTTTTCTCAAATTCTTTTACCAATTTTTGATTTTTTTAGTACGACGTCACGTTGTTCTTTTAGATGGCTTCATATTTTGACGAACACAACTGCGAGCCTTTGGAAGCTGGCCAACAGCCGAATCATCATCTTCATTTAGCTCGTTTATTGCTGGACAGTGGAGTTGGTGCAGAGCTAGAGCTTGAATTTGGCCGCATATTTGGTGGTGTGGATGGTCGAAAGCAGCCACCGGCTGCTAAACATGTAATTGACGGTTTAAAATCAACAAATAAATTTAATGCTGATGAAAAATGCGCTGTTTGTTTGAAAGAATTTGATTTAAATGGAACCAAAGAATTACCTTGTCGTCATAAGTTTTGCACGGATTGCATCGTTCGATGGCTCAAATTAGTTAATTCATGTCCAATGTGTCGAGTTGAATTACCAACGGATGATCACGATTATGAAGAGTATAAAAAACAAAAAGAGCGAGTAAAGGAAAGACAAGTTGCATTGGATGAGTTACACAATTCCATGTTCTCTTGAAATTTAAGTAATTAGTTGTAATCAATGTTTGGTTGTTATTTTTTGAAGAAAAATGTATCTACGATAATAATTAAACTGTTTGTTTACTTCAACTTAATCAGCCAAATCGCTAGCATAGCTACATATCAATCGTGCTGTTAAGTTCAGCTCACTTTAAAAGTGTCCAGTAGTTGAATTTTTTAAAGTATAATTACAAAGGCTCCAAATCTATAGTTCAAGAACATTCTCATATAATACTCAACTATCACTGCCTAACTATAATGCACGTGAACATGTTTGAAATAAATAAATACGATCTACATCGGTAGAATAACCAGTTTTACACCAAGTTCAACTATTTCTAAGGTTCTGTGCACATTCATGACTGGAAAAGCAAGGACTGACTTGGAACTTCGGCGGATCTCCAGTTTCAGAAGGCGTAGCGCTGGAATAGATCACAGAACCTTAGAAATAATTGACCTTGCAGAATTGGTTATTCTACTGATGTAGACCGTATTGGCATGGTTTTAAGTAGAAAAAGTTTTTCTGGACACCTGGTTTTTCAAAAATCCTCTGGAAGTATTGCAGAGATCTCAAAAGTTTTCTCATTAGGATCTACGATGTTTTCTACTTGTAAATCCAAATTTTCATTGAATATAAGGACTTTATTGCGAAATGAACTGTCTGATTCGAGGCAAAATGCACAGGTTCCGAACGGAAGAGGAACTTTCCCGCTCTCGGCGGCTTTTAAATTTTTTTCTGTCAAATAATGCGTGTGTAATATTGAAAATACGTTTTTTAGATGCAGTTTTCGACATAGAAAAAGAAAGAAATTATTTAAGCTTCTCAAAGATGACTAAGATACATTGAACACTTTGGTTGTTTTTTAAAGGTTTGACGTTTTTAGAGGTTTTTCAAATTTTTCACCCTAAAAGGTTTTTGCCGAAACGTTAGCGGATGCAGCTCGACGAGCTTTATCGAATCATGTATAAAAATCAAAGGAATAAAAAGTGTTGCAACGTTGAATTGCGGGCACCTGACTTTAAGCTTCTCTCAATAAAACCATCAGTTCTGAAAATGTTTTAACCATTATTTCATTACAATATCGTTG